ATACAATATTATTGAATTATTTTACATAATATGATCTATTTCCAAATCAAAGATGTTGCTAAAAGGAGAAAAATGTTCTTTAAAAAATTCTTTATCATAAATCTTTTTCCCCCTGCAAATCCTTTTTTCTCTCTACAAAAGCAATCTGAATGGGGGTAAAAGAAGACAAAACTTGACCTTTTGTGATCCCAGCATTAATGGGTCTGTTCATAATTCAATCTATGTGTGTGTGAGAGCATCCATGTGGAAACATAGAAGCCTGAGAGACATAAAACCTTTCCCTTTAAACATTATCTGACCCTATCGGTCCCATTCACAAAAGAAGGCTTACGCATGCATATGCTGAAAAAGCGCACCATCGCATTGTGCAGCAGAAAGCCTACTCGTTCCACTCCCCACGCTCCATGGCAATGGAGCACGGAAGTGACACTTGTACAGAATTGGTGAGTGTAACAAATGAACAGAAGGTACCAGACAAAAATGAAATATTCTGCTGAGGAAACAAACCAAACTTCTGAAATAAGGCAAGCATGCACATTGCCAGAAATATGCACATGGGCTTTTACATAATGTGGAGGGATGTTGGACCATATCTCTATGATGCCTGCATTCAATTCTTGAATTCAATTAAGTTCTCAAGATGACTTGTAGTCAGCACAAGATATTAACCTCTTTATAATTTTTTTATAGATCTCACATATTGGAGTTGTCTATTTGTGAGCGATACGTTGTTAAATATTGCCTGTCTGCTGCCAGGAACAAGTCTAAAGAACTCCTGGTTTTTGTAGTGGCTTTAGCTGTTGGGCTGAATTCTGTATGGCTTTGAATCCATCCACATTATTGAGAACTCCGGAGCACTTTGCGCAGAACTGCCATTTGAAATCACATAGAACAGCTGTTTCTATTCTTGAAATATGGCCTTCAAAGAAATATACAGAATGGTCTTAAAGCAAAGAAAGCCTGGCAAGCCCAACTTTCTAGACAGGTGTGGTGGCTCAAACTTGTAAGTACTTGGGGGTCTGAGGCAGGAGGATTGACATGAGTTTAAGACCTCTGTGAACTATGTAGTGAGTTCCAAGCCAACCTGGAGATACAGTATGAGAAGGAAGGAGGGGCACTAGCAAGATGGCTCAGCAGGCAAAAAGCACTTGCTACCAAGCCTCATGATCAGCATTGGATCACCAGGACCTACATACTGGAAACCTGCAAGTTGTCTGACATCCACATGTGCACCATGCAATAGCCTCCCTGCACCAGCAAGCATATATATACATGCATACGCACATACATAAAAAGACAAGTTTTCATTAGTAACATACTTTAAATGAGCCAGAAAAGGAACACAGATTTCAATGAGTACTTTTTAATATTCCTAAATCTCACCATTGTTTTGCCCACAAATACATTGTTTTCATAGGTTCAAAGGAGAACAGTCTTGAATTGATAAAAAGAAGAAGAAGAAGAAGAAGAAGAAGAAGAAGAAGAAGAAGAAGAAGAAGAAGAAGAAGAAGAAGAAGAAGAAGAAGAAGAAGAAGAAGACCAGAAAAATCAGGGGAGCTAGAAGAAAGCTAAGTGTCTCTGATTTGGTAGCTGAGCTACAGTGTAACTGCTGGAATCCTGACGCGTGTGGCACCTCTCACTGAGCCACAGTGACCCCCAAATTGTCACACTTTCCTACAAGTTTCCCCAGGTCGGAAGATCTACTTTGCTGCCCTATGTGATGGCTTTACAATCTGACACCCCATATACTGGTATGGGAAGAGACCATTGAAAATGGAGGCATTTTAAATGTCTTCCCAGCCTACCTGTTTGGAGATGGGATGATGCAATGTTGTTGATAGGAACTGCATCCTCAGGCTGCTTCATAGCTGTTCTTTACAGAACTCTAGTTATAGGAGTATAGCTCAGTAAAGATCGCTTGCCTTGTTCAGAACACTCTTACCAAGCTGGTACCAATGACCAGAGATACTAAGTCTCTCACACACCTGGGAGCAATGGCTAACTATATCTCAAACACACATCAACAGCTTTGGCAAACTTTCCTTGTTTCCACAACGGTAGGGGTGCTTCTGCCCAATCTTACTGTCATGCATATTTAATCCAATGTTGGCATCTACTTTTCAGACAACCTGGAATAACACACTTTTAAACTGACAATAATGAATTACAAATTTGCAAAGAAAACCTTAAAACTTTAGCATGTCATTGTATCAAAGCAGCCTTTGTAATATATATATAATTATTACTTCCAGTTTTCGTGGGGAAAGTATGTTGAACGAAAGCACATTTTAAAAGAAAAGTCCAGGCAGCACAACAGGAGCTAACTTTGAGATTTTTATGACATTTACTCGTGGTTTTAAAATAGACATAGAACTTTATATTTGTAGAAATAAATAAACTGTGGTGCTGGAGACGCAGCTCAGTGGTGGAGCTCTTGCCTAGTGTGCACAAAGCCCTGGGTTCGAGCCCCAGCATCATCAAAATGAAGAAAGGAGAAATGGGCTGAGAAAAAATTGATTTTCTCACTTCCCTTTTCCATTAGGATGTAACTTCTGTATATGTGTATGAACTGCAGCTAAAACTTGACTTCACTTTTGCTAACCTGGACACTGGAATCTATACATCTAAACCAATGGAATCATTTTCCAAGCAATCATTTAGCAATTATCCATGTGTTCAATTTTTTAAACAACAATAAAAAACATTTTTGAGTTGTACCTGACAAATTAAATATGTAACTAATTAAAGTTGTATTGAAAAAACATTGACGCATATAGTGTTAAATACGTAACTTCTAGTAAGAATGTGAATATGCATGTGTGAAAATATCACAATGAAATCTATTGCTTTTATAGTTAACAGATAAGCTAATAAAAGAAATATCAAATAAACAAATATTATCATGCTTTTGAGAAAAGATAATTATTAAATTCCCATTATACTTTATGTGTCTAAAATAATCATTTTTCTTGACCACTAAATTTTCAGTTGCCATGAAATTATATAATTTTACATAAAACAGCAAAGGGAAGACCAAAGAGATGGATCTGTTGGGAGAGCACTTCTCATGCAGGCAGGACAACCTAAGTTTGGATCCACAATCAAGCCAGGTGTGATAGTGTACATCTGTAATCTCAACACTCCTCCAGAGAGGCGAGAGGTGGAAGAAAGGGAATCCCCAGAAACTTGCAGGCTAACTGATGTATACAGCAGCAAACAGTAAAGACTATGTCTCAAACAAGGTGGAAGGTGCGGACCAACATGAAGGTTATTCAGCTAACTTCCGCACACATGTTATGGACATGTACATCCACCCCTACACTCACACCTACAAACATGCACACCCATACAATGATTAAAAATATACATCAAAGGGCAAATATAATTATACTTAAGAAAACAATCTATCATTATTTTAGATTAAAATCTCTCCAAATCTGGTTAAACATGTGTAAAACATGTAGAGGAATGTCTTAGCTGGGGTTTCTATTGCTGCGATGAAATCCACGACCAAAAAAGCAAGTTGGGGAGGAAAGGATTTCTCTGGCTTACACTTCCAGATTATAGGTCATCATTGTAGGAAGTCAGAACAGGAACACAAGCAGGGCTGGAACCTGGAGGCAGGAGCTGATGCAGAGGCCATGGTGGGGAGCTGCTTACTAGTTTGCTCCTCATGGCTTGCTCAGCCTGCTTTCTTATAGAACCCAGGATCACCACCCAGCAGGGGCTGGGCCCTCCCCCATTGGTCACTAACAGCTGGATCTCATAAGGCATTTTTTCAACTGAGGCTCCTTCCTCTCTGATGACTTTAGCTTGTGTCAAGTTGACACACAAAACCAGCCAGTAGAAGGAATAATATTTTTCAATTTTTAACTAGCACCCTAATCATTTAACTTGTAACTATTCAGTGGAAGGAGCCAAAACTATAACTTAACTCTATACAATTGTTACTCATTGCATTGGAGGAAATAGTAACAGTTATGTTTTACAAAATATTCCCTACTAAATATTCTAATCAATGCTCACAATGTCATCTTTAATACTGGATAGATATGTCCCTAATAGTACCACATTTTCACCTGAGAGTTGAATTCATGCAGAAAATTTGATACACCTTATTGGTCATCTGCTATGAAATATATAGTCAGAAAAGATGATACAGTCATTAAGATTAAAAAATACTAAAACCTTAAACTTTGGATAGATTACTTAGAACCAATGTTCAAATTGGTTAAATTTATGCAGAATGTTTATTCTTTTAATGTATACATTATCTTATCCTTTACGTTGGTTATAGATTTATTTTTCACAGTGTAGTACACAGAGACTAGGAAATCCATGCCCACTCCTCTGAAAGATTAAATGCTTTTGCATTCCAGGAAGCGACATGAAAATCATTTTCCCCCTTTGTCTGGCACCAATTTTGTGTTATTATTTCATTTATGGAATACGCTGTCAACTTCCCAGCGTGGGCTTTGGAGAGGAGGCCTGATTTAATAGTTCTTCATTACAATATTGCCGGCAGAATCTGATGATTAGCTCGCTTAAGCTTGACATTTGTAAACTACGGCTTTCCCTTGATAGACGATCACTTCGTTAGCATTTCTAAAATTCAGAGCAAGGATTCTCTCCTTAGACATTAGTTAATACAAACACAATTTAGAGTTATCAAAGATTCAAAGATTCTTTACACTTCCTGATGCTGGAATGTTGTAAACCTCATTTTCATGTAGTATGTAGTAACTTGTAAAATTTCTGGAGAAACATTCATGATTTTTCACAAAATCACAACTAATTTGTTCTTTCAGGCATATATTATTTTTCAGGGTGCCTACACCAGTAAAATAATTACCAGTTTTGAACGGCTTTTTTTTTTCTGGTCTCAGCTTTTAAGAATTAACAAGAGTTGATTTACTGTAATACTCAAGTCAAAATTTCTGTTAATTTCAAAATCACTGTACATTTTCATTTCAATATCATTAGCAAAATAAGTCCCTTACATCTTCTTGTGACTTCTGGTATTCCTCTGGTGTCATCGAAAGAATGGCCTTTTCTGTGATTTTCGATTTCTCATCATTCACGATCAAGTTCAACTAAAAGATATAAAGAATCAACATGAACCTTTGACAATCAACAGCAACATTTACTCAAACAACTAATTTTTAATTAATGTTGATGTGTTTACATGAAAAAACTTATTTAGATTAAGTAGAGAAATGATTTTTTTAATAGTCAAAACACTTAACATACTGAATTTTTAACTTTCTTTTTTAAATATACAACTTGGAAAATCTAGTGGGGAGGGAAAGTCCTGAGTTGACATTGCCAATTAGACATTAGACATTACCAATTAATCAATTAGATATTGGTTAAGGTTTTTTAAAGCATTTACAACTTTTAAAATTAGGTTGAGCTCTTCTATCAAAAAATTTCAATGTAGGTAAGAGAATAAGGTGGCTGCCATTATGTTGGAATAAGAAGTCAAGGAGTACAACAAAAGTGTTTATTCATACACTGCACTGTGCTAAAATTATTTCCAATATTTTATAACAGAAGATTGTGTCTCTATACAGCTTGACAGTTACCTCCAACCAGCTCCATGTGTACACTATTTCTACTATTTCTAGCCTTTGGTTTATAAAATCATGAATGTGACCTATTTCATATTATAAATAATCTTATAGAAATAAAATACTATTTTCATCAAAGGAAGATTAACTCACACAATAAGATTCTTTCAACAGAACAACACAATTAGAACCAAACAGAACAAGAGTTTGATAAAGAGCCCTCTGAAGTCAAGCATTTAACAATATTTTTTGAGACAGGGCCTCATTTTGTAGCTCTGGCTAGCCTGGAACTCACTTTGTAGACCAGGCTGGCCTCAAACTCACAGAGTTGTTATAGTTGATGACCTATAAAGGGTTTGTCAACAGGTTAAGTTTTATAGGAAGGGAAATGGGGTGTTAACAGTCCCTTATAGTAGGAAATAGACAAGATATAAGCAAATGAGCTATATTTCAATAAGAAGTAGTGGTAGACTGAATTTTTGCCAGCAAGTAGCAGTTTTCCAAGTCCAAAATTGACCTAGATTGAGAATCACCGATTAAACTGTTATTTTTAATCATCATATAAGACTATTTTTACAATTACTCTCTCTAATGAATATTTGTTACTGTAATAATATAGCACAGAAGTATAACACTATAATGATGTAAATATCAAGTCTTTGTATAGACTAAGTCTGATCTCACATCTCATTGATCATTTATCAGGAGAGTTCTCATCTCAGGTGATAAGGAGATAGAAGACAGACACTGGAGAATATCACTAAGTCTGATCTCACATCTCATTGATCATTTATCAGGAGAGTTCTCATCTCAGGTGATAAGGAGATAGAAGACAGACACTGGAGAATATCCTCAAACTCATCATTTTCTGTTATTTTTGCAGTGCTGGGACTAGAACTCAAAGTCATATGCATGCAGAGCAGAACTCACCTACTCAGCTATACCACCAGCCCTTGACTTTAGAAGACAGGATTTGTGCCTTTTTTCCCAGGCTGGTCTAGTACTCAGAATCCTTTTCCCTCCACATCCTCAAATATGGGATTATGTGCATGTGTTCCAGGCCAATCAGGTTTATTTATTTTTTAAAGCATTGAAAAAGAAATAAAGGAAGGAAGGGAGGGAAGGAGGGAGAGAAGGAGGGAAGGAGAGAGGAACGGAGAGAGAGAGGGGGGAGAGAGAGAGAGAGAGAATATCCAGAGCAGTTTGTTTTAAGGGAAGTAAAACAAAACAAAAACAGAGGCATTTGGTACCACACAGAGAGGTAGGATTCTAATGAGATTCCCAGGGCCATGACATTTGGAACAGCAGGAAAGTAACTTTTCAAAAGGTGAAAACTTTCCCCTCTGACAGCACTACAGTTGTGGGAGAAATCACCTCAATTTCAATTCCCAACTTCAAATAAACGCTATACAAATCTATGTATGCAGAGGGAAAACATAACAACATCATAAAAGAAAAACCATAGTGTTAGAGTGTTAGATAGGGTGTGTGTGATAAAACACGAGAATGAGCACATGGGGTTTTTACTGGAAGCAGGGAAGCCATTCCAGGAGAACTATGTTTTAATTTAATCATTTAGAGGAAATTATTAGAGTCAAATGAAGAGAGTGGGATTTCACCTGAGACAATATGCAGTGCTGACGACATCTTTCTCTCAAACCCTGAGATATGACAAACACAGTTAGATTCTTCTCTCCTGCCACTTTCGATGAGACCATCCTGGTCCCTGTTCTTCATTAAGACAACAACAATAAAATAAAGTAACTAGATGCCATCAATTTGCTGCCTTATCTCAAATATGTAAAATAATATGTTAATTAAGTTAAAATTCACGAGGCTTTTTTCTAGTAAAGAAGATAAAAACTTGAAAAGGTGGAAATCATAAACAATGCTGAAATTTATGTATAGCTCAAAAATCCTTGTCAAGTAGAGTAAGGGGGTGTCATTTTGTTCTAAACATAGATTGCTCCCTTCAAATACAGGGGAAATTTCTCACATATTCATTGTAAAATTCAGAATGTAATAAATTAATAGGAAAGCACATTGTACCCAGGCAGAGTTAGGATCATTCTGAACTAGTGAAAATCAGAAAGGAACAATCAAGAGACTGGCCGAGACCAGAAGGAGAAAGAGGAGAAAAGTTAATGGAAATGTTTTAAGGAAAAAGTCTGGTTAGATACACAGACGATCAAAAAAGGCTAAATTCATGGAAGTCACCAAAGGACTGAGAGCATTTTCTATAAAGGGCCTGGGGATTTATCTTGGTGGAGAGGGCTTGCTCATCATGCATTTGGTCCCTTGTGTAATCCCCAGTGATGAAAAAGAAAACAGAATAAAAAAAAGGAAAGAGTCCCACAGAAACAGACCTGAGACAATAGAATCTAATAAAATCGTTTCCATTATCTTTGACTTTTCAAAGTATATTTTATTTAAAACATTAACGGTTGACACTAAGGGTTCAGATATCAGTCCATCTCTAAAGACCTAAAAGTAGCAGTTTAGTGATACAGAATTTGATATAACACTTGGGCTTTGTAATTGAAAGCACGCTTAATTTTTGAAGGATGCGTCAAATGCCTGCAGGCTCATGGAGCTCTCCTATGGACATCCTCCAATGAAAAGCAAGCTCAAGACCTCCTAGACAAATGTAACCTAAACAGCAGTGATCTTGTCTCATACACATCATTAATGGCTAACTGCCTTTCTGCTACATGCCTCTTAAGTATTCTGAAGTATGTTTATGAGAATCATAAAGCTCCTGTAAAAATTTTAACATGATAGATAAAATGTATTTTACAAAAGAAAGTAACTATGAAATTGTCATTCTAGATTTAAATTATTAATATCATTAGAAAAAACACAGTAATTCGAACAAGCTGGTATGCTCTCTCCACCTAATTCATGCTGACATTCCAGATAAGTTCTACCCAAAGGGGGAAAAGCCTATTAGTGCATCTAAACTCTCATGGTCCTGAACTGTGGCTTTCCACATGGCTTTTGTATTTCAAAAGAGAAACTAAAGAGCAAGGATGAAGTATACAATATGTCTTGTGTAGAGTGTTTTTAATAAATCAGCATGCCCTGTAAGAATACTGAATTCATTTAAGGTTTTCATCAGTAAATATTGATCTACAGCTACATTATTTGATCCATAGTTTACATGTGGATCAATATAGGCAATACAGTTTTGCATAAACAATAAGATAACCACCCTTCATATATATTGACAGGCTTCCCAATGGTCTGTTAATATACAAAAGACTGGGACAAATTACTTATTTATATATACAAAACATGGTTATAAAGGACAGCTGCAGGTATTTTTTTGGAAAGTGCATTTTAATAAGGTCCTATTCAGTTATAGAACAAATGGGGAAAAAATAGTTGGCACTACAGAGTTTAGTGCAGGAGCCCTCTCCTTTTCTAACCACGAAATCAATCATTTGTCCAGACTGTGGGAGTCAGAGTTAGTTACTGAAAAGACTCCGTATATAAACAAGTCAATAACTCATTGTGTGTTATTGTTGAGCTGAAGAAGTCGGCTTTCAAAAAGCTGGCCCTGCTTCTCCCGGAATGAATGTCACTGTATTCAGGGCTGGGAGAGCCTTTGTTTCTAGCCATTGCTGGCTGCCATTTATGTATGGGAACAGGAGGTGGCTGCAGGAAGAGCAGGGGAAGATACTATTCCCTAACGTGATGTCCAAGTCAAATTCTCAGTTTTGTCAGCCTAAATCGTCTGTTTCTAAAAATGGACAATGGGATTGATAAAGAGTAAACACATAAAAATATTTGACAAAAGAGTTGAGAGACAAATGAGTCTGTAGCATCTTAAGTTGGATTGGGATGATACTTTAGATTTCCTATTTGTCAACAGAGATAAATCTGACATTCAGGCAACGGTTTGAAAAGTTCAAATGCACAAAATCAAACTGATGAACAGGTCAGCATGTCAAAGGAATTCTATCTGTTCTTGCTGTAAACAGAAAGGTTGATTCTTGAGACAACCAAATGGAGTTTTCAAAGTTGTGTGTGTGTGTGTGTGTGTGTGTGTGTGTGTGTGTGTGTGTGTGTGTGTGTGTCTATGTATGAGCACACATGCTTGCACATTCACAAACTTCTTTTATCCATGAAAGAGAAGGTGTATTCAGTAGGTAGCAGATTTTGGAGAGAGTAATAAAACTCTTTTAAGAAGTGATATTGACTCTTTCAATAAGGAAATCCCAATGATCTTTGGCTTAAGATTAAAGGTCCTTTATAGTTCAAAATGCACTAAATTCAAAATATATAAATATTGTCAGAATTCTAACTATTTCATCTTGATATTTGTTAAATAGCTACCATTTATTCAGATACTATGAAGAAGCACACGGTTTATAGTTAATTTGGGTAAATAACAAATACAGGCATATCTATTTAATAAATGGTCCTTATATTATGTTATAAAAATGTCTCTGATATCATCAGGCCAAACACTTTTTTAGGTCAAATCTCTTTTCAAAAGATTTTTATTCATTATTTTGTGT